TAATTCTCATTGCAATACCAATAATTACGTGATCTATTATCACCACCGAGCGTTCTTTGGACTTGCGGCCATTTATAGTGACCCCCCACTGTGTAGAGACAAACTTCCGACCGGACGTTAGGTGAAGGTCAAGGCCAGACCGAGAATTCCAATTCAGGTTGAATTCTGTCATATTCTGCTACGGGCATCACCGCAGATGCATTCAGAACAGTATCGCCTGACGTGCGATAGGAGCGGAGACAAGGTTCAGGTGGGTAATTTCTAGCCTAAGATGGAAACTGGCGAGCGCTCGGTGGTGATAATAGATCACGTAATTATTGGTATTGCAATGAGAATTATCGGACGATATGATAGTTACAGCGTGTACTCTAAGAACCTTGGAAAGAACGACTAGCTGCTACATTGGAGAAGACCCAATCATAGGGTGTTTCTATGAGAGATTGCGAGAAAGGGGAATCGGGAATGTGTTTAGATAGTGATAACTCGGAGATGGCTGAAACGTCTCGGTAGAACCGCCAACCCAAAGATAGAGGCAGCGATCACCTCAAAGCCGAAAATGCATATCCAGAACGCGGGCTTGGTCATATACTGAATAGACGTTGTTAGAGAGATGATGCGAGAATTAGAACCTACACTTACCCAAGGTGTCGCTTGTCCAAGCTTGGGAACATAGAAAGCTTGAGCTGTCCGAACGCCTTGCTCAAATGTCAACAAAATAGCAGGCACCACGATAACAGCCGCATTCTTCCTTCACGCACGGATATTTAAGGCCTATGGAAAGAAGTTTATATGGAGTGGCCTTTGTGTCAGTTACTGCGTAGCTCGGGTGGTAGCGTTGAGCCTGAGGATAGCCTCGATTAAGGTGAGTCGTTCATAAAGCTCTCATGCTATGGGATTGCTGACTGGCGGGGATTGTTTAGAAACCTACCAATACGGCGTTGGGTATTGTCGCCCAGATTATGATAGCGGCTGGCGTTGCCCTCCTGGTGCGTTTGAGGATTCACGATAACGATAGCTCTTAACTCATACCTTATAGTTTGTTGTGAATCTTCAAATGTCTCGTCGGTTTTACGGACAACTGCATCCCCACCACGCGGTCCCAGTGCAACGTTTCATCACCGGATGTATCATAGCTGTCGTCCCTGTTCTTGCTGCTGGTGAGTTGTCTCGATCTGGAACCCCATTATCATAGCCCTCCATAAGATTCAATGCTGACCTCTGTATCCAACAGTTATCACAACTGTAGTTCAATCCTATACTACCAAAAACGCCCACGTCCTCTCTGTTGGGCGCACGATCCGACTCGTCGTATCCTGCATCTTTACCATACTTCCCTTTATCCCTATTGTCATCGTCTCCCTCGTTCTCATACTCAAGGCCACATCTCCCGGCGGTTTATCTGCTCCACAGATCCTCTCTGAGGATCTTGAATTGGCTGCACAGAGTACGGCAGAGCAAAGTGCCCGTCCATCGTCAGAGCGACCGGTGACAGGAGATAATGCTACAGCTGTTGGAAACGATAGCGCCTCTGCTCTTGGTGTAGATGACAATACACTCTCTGGGACATACGAAAAGAAGAAAACC